CCGATAATCTTGATCAAATTCAGTCATCCTCCTCCTCATCGGGGCTAACCCTGAACCCCAGTAAATGTGTTGAGTGTTTATATAGTTTTGCTCGCTCTCCATATCCGACAGACCCCACAGTGATTAATAACAATCCTTTATCCAGGGTGAACCCTGTCAAATATCTTGGGGTAACCATAGATAGCAATCTTCATTGGTCAACCCACATCCATAACTGCACTGGTAAACTGCGACGCCTTTCAGTTGAAATACGACAGCTCAGGCAGTTTCGTGCATCCCACTCAGTTATTTCTACTTTTGTTTATCAATGTGTTTTCCTCATCTTACTCTACTGTTCCCCGGTTATTTTTCCTGGTTTACTCAAACAGGACTTCAAAGTCTTACGACGCGGTCTAACCATTATAAGTCGTGTCTCTTCCATTCCTGTGAATAAATTAGCTTTAAAGCTTTCCGAGTATCACGTAACTCCTTGTGTGAGGATCTTCACAGATCCGGACCACCCATTGTATGCAGAACTGACACTTTGTCATTCCCATCATTCAACACGCTCCCAATTTCGTCAAATTTCATCTCGAATTAATGCATACCGCAATTCACCCATACCGTATCTTGCTGGTCTACTCACAAACAAAGAGCGAACAATGAGTGAACTTTGTCTTAACCTTATATTATGAATGTGTCCATGCCTATGAAAACTTTTCTCCCCGTTGATTATGTACATTGTGACGGTTAGCGTGTATGCTTTTTAACTGAAATGTGAGCTCCAGTGCTTGCAAAAGTTATACACAATACAATACGATACAATACAATAGGATACGATATAAATTGATGTTACTTTTTAAGAAATGCCTAGACAGGTATTTGCACCCTCCATCCTGGGAACATATATATTACTTTTCCATTTTCTAATTGAGTTTCTTCTAATATCAGATCCGAATACTCGTTCAGTTTCTATTTTGGCTGGTCTCAAAATAACCGAGCGTGATTCCCAATGGTTTGTAGTATCAGTGAACTACCATTGTTAAGCACGACCTTTTCTTTATTTTTCCCGGAGTGCAACAGCGCATATTTTTTTGACTGAAATTTAGGCTTTCACAAGTGATTTCAATACACATCCATCGATCATGCACGTGTTGGGAAGATAATGAAAAACAAGAGAATGCACTGTATACTCGCACTGCGTGATGTGAACTATTTCTGGTCCGCGGGTAACCATCCTAAGACTTAGCTAACGAGGCACTCTTGCAGACTATGAGAAATATTCTCTCAATAAAGTTCACTCATTTTCTCATAATGGGTGATTTCAACTGTCCCAATTTTTTAAAAAGCCAGAACTATCACCACCCTTTCGAGCGAAACTTATCACAGTTTAAATACTCACATTCGATGTATAATCACGTGAAGGATCCCACCAGGTTTGGAACAGGCCACCAACCGTCACCACTGGACTTGGTATTGATAAGCGAGGAGCTTATGGTCGAATCGGTCGAAACAACGTCTTCATTAGGGCGAAGTGACCATGCAGTTCTGCTTTTCGATTGCATCTACCACGCCTCAATAGAGATATGCCTGAAAACCAACACACGCACAGTTATTGACCACAATGAATTACTGAACCTTGCTACTGTCGAACAATGGACACAACCAGAAGAGTAGCTAGATCCACTAGAGTCCTGGAAAAGATTCATTGAAACACTAACAGAATTCATAAAGGTCGCCACAAAAACCAAGCTTGTCGGTGCACTGCCTACACGATTATATATCCTATCCGTGGTCGAGCCAAGAAATGGATGTCACAGAGGAATTTCTCTTGGGGAGAGTTCAGAAGCTGGCCGACCGCCGACGTTTGGGATAACCATATCTTGTTGAGAAACGTTTGTGTAACATTAGTGCGAGACGATAAACGGAGGTTTCAAGAAACTCTGGCACATAAATTTATTGCCAATCCNCTGAGCATGTCGGTACGTTGCCTATACACGATTATCACCTATCCGTAGTCGAACTAAGAAATGGATGTCACGGAGGAATTTCTCCTGGCGAGAGTTCAGAAGATGTCCGACCGCCAACACTCGGGATAACTATATAATGTTGAGAAACCTTTGTGTAAAATTAGCGAGAGAGGATAAACGGAGGTTTCAAGAAACTTTGGCACAAATTTATTTCCAATCCAAAGCTACTGTATAAGCATATCAATGCTACCAGAAATGTAAAATATGGAATACCGGCAATAAGGCATGCAGGACGCGTTTCCATTACTACTACTGAAGTAGCCGAATTCCTAAAAGTTCAGCTCAACGGAGTGTTCACTGCAGGTAACAAAGGCGGATTACAGCTTCCACACCTGTCAAGTATCCAACACCCCCTAATGACCACCGTCACGTTCAAATGTGAAGTGGTTAAAAACGAACTATTGGCGCTACGCTGGAATTCACCTCCTGGCGAAGACAATATTCAGCCACAGACTCTGACGTGCTTAGCAAATTACACATCTGAAATAAGTGCCTATTTATATCAAAGAATATTTAACAAGACGAAGATCCCTCGATCCTGGATACAATGCATCATTTCGCCTATTTACAAAGGTGGCTGCAGAAGTGATCCTGCGAACTACCGTCCAGTTACACTTCTTCCTGCTCTGTCAAAAGTAATGGAATCAATTGTTGTTGATTCTCTCATGGATCATTTCGAGAAGCATAACATACTTTCGCCGGCTCAACATGCGTTTCGAAGGAAACGCTCGTGCACCACAAATCTGCTACTTGCACGAGATGAATGGACAATGACGCAGGAGAGGCAGTAGATGTAGTCTACTTAGACTTCTCCTAAGCTTTTGATAGGGTTAACCACCATATATTGCTGCGAAACCTACATACTTACGGTGTTCGAGGACTGCTCCTGGACTGGATTGAGGAATTTCTTCAACAACGTACCGTATCGGTTCGCGTTATTGGTTCTTTGTGGGGACCGATTGAGGCTGTCCGTGGAGTTCCACAAGGATCCGTACTCGGTCCGTACCTTTTCCTAGCATTCATAAACGACTTACCAGATGTCCTTGGAGAAAAGGCATTATTATTCGCTGGTGACACCAAAACGTGGAGGACGTCAAAATATCCTGAAGAATATGAAACCCTGCAGGAAACTCGACGCAGCTTACCGATGATCAATCACTAATAACATTGGATTCAACATTGAGAAATGCAAGTCTGCATCGCTGCACCACAGCGGTCGCTTTCCATACTTACTGGGAACTCAGCCATTGCTACGTTCTCGAAACGAAAAGGATCTGGGAGTTATCATTTGTGAGGATTTAGAATGTTCTATAGATTGCGCAGGAACGTCTTCAAAGGCTATAAAACACGTTGGATTGCTAAACCGTGTTTTTGGATCATTCGAAACAGACCTATTGCCCCGTTTATTATCAGCAAACATTAGACCACACACCGACTATGCTATACAGGCTTGGCATCCATGGCTGATTCGCGACCAAAAGGCACTTGGACGTCCGCAGGGAACAGCAACCAACCAAAGGGTTAAAATGTAAGACCTATGGTGAAAGGCTGTGAATTCCCGGACTCTATTCGTCTGAATACCATCGAAACATGATGGTCGTTTATCAAGTATTACATCAGCCTAACCACCCATGTAGTACTCTACGAACACTATCCAAGAATGGTCACTTCCGAGGACATCCGTTTAAACTTCTGCTCCGAAAGAGTCGGCTAGACTGCAGGCGTCATCCTTTCAATCTCAGAGTTTGTAACACCTGGAACTCTCTTCCGCCTCAAGTTGTTTGTGCCTCAACCATCGATTTATTCATGTCATGACTGGATGAAACATTCAAACACGTAACTTGTCAGTACCCGTGAGTGAAGGTCAGAATTTGCTATACAGTTGAACTACCAACCGAACCCACTGTGTACAGACCATATGGGATTCAATATGCATCAGCTTTGTAATTTACCCATAATGAAAATTTGAATTTGTTGTGATGGGTAAGCGTGCGAGCGTCATTTTTACGAGTTATTTATGATTGAGATGCTATTTTGGGCTTTCACGTGCTCCCATCGGAGTTGTATCGATGTCCGCAATTATGCGTGCGTGCGTGTTTGCGTGCACACATTCTTGCAAGTGTGTGGACGTGTCCGCAGGTCTACCGGCAATTTTTCTGGTGGACAGAATAATTTCCACAACAATATATATATCGAATTGATGGCACAAGTTAATAAGCTTTATTTTTATGAGTTTAACCCTTCTATAATGATGGTTTGGTCCACCCCACCGAGTCGACACCAATCAAACCACTTACTGTTTTTTGGTATTTTTCAATCCGTTCCAATTCCCCTACCGAGAAAACGGTATTTCAACGTGGGATATTTTTAGAAGAAACAGAATGAGTTCAATCCCAACTGCCGTGAAATAAAATCCTTAGCGTTTATCTATGTACAGTATTGACTTTTCTTACGAATGCAGCTGGTCGTGTATCTATTTAATGATGCGTTTGTATCGTTATTAACATGGCCTTGTTCGTTTGTTTGAGCAAACCTAATGTAAAATTGCTAAAAGAATATGAAAAAAATGGCGGCTTACATTAACCGAGTAATTTTGGCATCCTAAGTGGAGGAAGGGGTAATATTCGTTTTTATTCAATGCATCTCCCGATCCCCGCTGCGTCCGGTCGTGAGTTATCTCGGTGATAATTGGAACTTGTGTTAACTGAATTAGTTATGTTGAAACATTCGAAGCAATAACAGAGGGGTGATGAGTTTGTCGGATGGTGGGTTTGTGACTGGAGACGAGCGTAGCAGAACGTTCTCTGATCACCCTTACATCTGTTGCGGTCAAACCGCATGCACACTATTTGGCCATTGGAACCACAACTGAGCCTAATCACGAACTGATTAGCGTGTTCAGAGCCGATCTCAGTGCTTGGGATTGTGGCGTTCCCTCACATTGTGCTTGTTAGAATTCTTTCGGTCACGTCTAAACATCTGCCATCCATGACTCGCATCTCTCAGGGGAATCCGCGGACCCATTTATGTACGCTCGCATCAAGACGTCATCAGGCGGGATTAACCTCGTTCTTATGCGCAAGTCTAAATGAGTAGGCTTTATTTAGTAGCCCGAGGGCAAATCGTTGCAGAGATTTTGGACGCGCTTCATCCGCATCGTCTGCATACCGGTACCGCTCGCTTGTCATCGCCTGCGATCCGTTGCTTACAAACGTGATTATTCATTTGTGCCTGTGGGCAACTTTGCTCAATATAGTTTCCATTTTCACCGTATTTTAAATCCGATGTTTTTTAGGCGATGATAATTGTAATAATGTTAAATTGATTTTTTTGTGCGATCACACAGTAAGGGCTGTTTCGCGATTGAAAATAACCTTGATTCACTATTGAGGTCTATCAATAGTTCTATTGTTGTTAGTCATTTGTTAGTTACTCTAATAGGAACACATTGGTGACTTAATCTGATTTCTCTTCTCACTCTGATTTTCCCTGCGCTACCCTTCGCCCTCTTCATCGTCCTAATGCATCACTGTGAATATCAATGTCAACCAATCAGATCGAGTCATGTGAGCTAATGATGGACAAGTCAACCAATCGGCATCGAGGTGAGTTTGCTTTGTGCACTCCCTGACCAGTTGGATTTTTGTCGTTCTCCATGTCAGCTTAATAAAATGTTTTAGATTATCAACCAATTTTTGAGGGACTGTGAGAAATTATACGAGCCTAACGGATACGCTGTTCTTGTGATGTACTTCCGTCTAACCACGCTCATTCGATCAAAATTTAGTTTCCTCGCACCTTTTGATGGCGATCACTGGCACTGGCTACAATGTATTCCAAAAATCTATCGAGTGATGATAGACGATTATTCGGTGTAAACTATCCAAAGCGCATGTGGTCGCCGGAGCCATTTGTGTACTGGTTCCAGTCTACTTCCGGCTTTTCGTACACATCTGTCTCATCTTTCTCAGTAGTTTTGTGTGTTTGTTAGACTTACTTGAATGTGTTCCTGCACGGGTCTGTGTTTTGTACACGTGCGCGCTTACGTGCGTGTATGCTTTTGATTCTGAACACCGCTAGTGTCTGCGGATCATCTTTGCTGGCTAAGAGACACAGTTACTCGCGCGTGCATAACAAGACCCTTTTCGGTTATGCACACACACGCACGTACGCGCGTTCGAGACCCGCAGCTATCGGTTTGGTCCTATCTGTGTGTGTGTGTGTCAGGCATGCATTATACAGTTTGGCGCACATCACGCGTTGGAACTGTGAGTGTGATGGCTGTTTGAAGGACTGAATAATATAAATAAGACACACGCTTAACTGTTTACGCGGTGGCCAATTATCGGCATCGGTTGCTACGGTAATTTGAGCAGAAAACCAAGTTGTTGGTGCTAATACCAGTGTTTCGTTCCCCTTCTGTGGGTTATTGCAAAATGAACCAGCCGGTTTTGAAAGAAAACAGATTAACGAAAAGGCCTATTTTGGTAATTCATCTGGCTACTGCATTAAATTTTGTATCACATCATTTCATATAGAATGGGAAAGAACACAGGAAAGCAAGATTCAATGCGGCATGCCGGACTTGGTTGATCTCGCCATCAGGTTTTCGGTTAGACTGCGTTGTCCATGTGAGGTGGAGTGGTGAGTGCATTGTGTGATGTAGGCCAAGGGCAATGGAGCGTTGGGTACTTCTAAAACTGTTTTGGATTGCTCAAGGAAAATTGGCATGTAAACGGACTCCAACTATCTCGGTAGTGGCTAGGACGCAACCTTTGATCGACGACACCGAACGCAGATAGTGTAATTAGATTCGGCGAGGTTTGAAACAACAGTACTTGGAATGGTTGTAGTTTCGGCTGTGATCAGGTGGGCCTGATGGTGTTCCTGAACTATTGCAGTTTGGTGCCTACTCGTGACTACACTGTTATAACGGAAGGTTGCTTTAGTGGTGATACCATCCTTAGTCCCAAATTGTTCATCCTGACATTTGTTGGAGTCAAGATATCGTTATATTTGTCAATGGCTTCCATCACGACGAGGCTGCACCGTGACGCGGTGTGATGTCTTGTACGCCTCCTGACCCCGCGAGCTGTACAGGATGGCTGCTCACGGCTGCAGATCCAATCATGCCTGAAAAGTCAATGTTTAGGGTATCTGTGACGCCGTCGCGACATCCGGCTGTCTGTGAAGTGTCGAGCGAATGCTATGGCATTTCGGCCGGTTCTGCAATGCAGCGCAGAAAGTTGGTCAGAAACAGAAGAAAGATAAACTGTCCGTGTTTGAACACCTCTGTCCACGCAGCATTGCGCGAATCTGTTGGGTCAACCGGTAGAGCAATGCTGAGGTTAGGCGCAGAGTTCGAGGTAATCGCAGTCGCCCACTGAAACAAGTGGTTGACCTCCATAAAATACGCTAGCTGAGACATGTGTTGCGCATGTCACCAAATGGGTTTCCTCGGTGAGCGATGTTTGTCGAGGTAACTAGCGGAGGGGAAAAGATCAAGGACGGTCAAATTAAAACCTAACATGG